CTTGAAAAAGTGAAAATGTTGGAGTCAGACATAGCTCAGTCCCAAAATGCTCTCCGCGAATCCAAGGCAGAGAATGAGAAATTGAAAATGGAATATGAGGAAAAGTACAAGACACGGGATGCATTCGCTGGACAGAAGATTACAGAGGTTTCTTATTTGACACAGCGCATCGATGGTGACGGACTCATCACGCGCGCACCCCGCTCACCTCAAGCGCAAGCCTCGCAGTCCTCATCAGCAATGGGCAGCACTCCATCAAAGGCCCCCAAGAACATTCAAAGGAGAAAGGTAAATCGTCAAGACAACACCGTGTCGGAAGTCAATCTATCCTCACAGCAGCGGCGAGATATTCGGACAGTCTTTCAGCCTCACTTGCGAGCTGTCGAAGAAAGTGCGCAGAGTTGGACTAGAGAGAGCATTGATCCAGCCCTGATAAACGACTCCGGATTCGTACAACTATTCGAGTCCCAGGACGTATCTGCAGTCAACGCTGATCGAATAATTCCTGAGATACAAGAACAGTCGGAGCTTGGCATGACCCTTGAGAACATCGACGATCAGATCGACAAGCAAACGAAGCAAGCGTCTAGGAATCGCAGTTCTTCTAGCTTGTCTTCTCTGGATTCAGACACTTTGAGGCCGAGACATGTCGCTCCCGAATCTCCGAAGACCTCGCATCCACATGAACGCGAGCCCTTGAGAATTGCTTCCGGACAGGTTTCAATCGCTCGTACTCCTTCGCGCTCGCTTCAGAAGCAATTCGAGCCCCTGTCGGCAGACCGTCCCAGGTCTCGAGCGAATACTGCTTCTCGCATGGCACCACCAACTGAGGCTTCATTCTTTGAGTTTGATGGTCGATTTTCGCAGAGTCCTAGCAAACACACTGGCTCAACTCAACCCGCTACCCAAAGCCAGGCTGGTAAAATGTTCAGTCACCCAGACTCGACCCAAAACTCACTGTCAGGTGCAAGAGAATCATATGAAAACTCGCAAGATTCGTTTGGCAAAAGCTCGACAAATAAACGCAAGTCATCAGAGAGCGATAAGTCTCAAGCCGGGCAAACGAAGCGATCCAGGCCACTGTCGCAGCAACCTCCAATGTCCACTCCTTCAAGTGCAAATAATCGCTACCGTAATCAGTCTCGACACTCTTCTCAATCAGCAGTCCGTGGTAGCGGTAGACGTTCCAATCGTACCGGACGCGGAAAGAGTATGTGTGCTCGAATCTGTCTAGTTTGCTATTGTCTTATTAACTTGAACTGTAGATTCGAGTGGGAATACGGATTCTCGTTTTAGCAAAGAGCTGCAAGGCTAGGTTTTCAAACGCCGTCTCACATACTGCCCTCGCATGTCGACGCGATCATTCCCGCTGCGCACAAACAGAGGATTTCTCCATCCTTACGCATACGTACGAGCCTCGCGCATGCCGCCCTGATCTTAGCCTAATATCCCTACTCATCATCAACTCTCATTCGATTCAAGATGTCACCCAAAGCTTAATAGCGGCAAGGAATTGTATCATATGGCTGAACGATGTGACAGAAAAGACAAGGCAGCTGATGGCCCGGGGATCACCCTCTTTCGAAATTTCGTTCATCTTTCCATGTTCATATAAATGTCGCCAGTATGAAAAATGTATGTAGTTTATGTTGCAATGAACAAGACGCACATCCTATCCGTAAAGCAACGCCCGTCTGCTGCTTGTAATTTTTGTTGTTCGAATTCAACGTCAGCTCGTATAGCGCATACAATTTACTTGCACCCATGTTGACAACCAGACTCCGCAGATCGAAATGTACGAACGACGTGTCATTCGCAAAGCGATCCATTGCTACTGATATTTACGATTGTACTTTGATATTTTATATATATCTTGGGTGTGTCTGAATTCAGCCCTTGTGACACACATGGGGGAGGGAAGAGCTGGCCCACCGTGCAAATATCTCTCGCAACATTTGATCGGTTGGCGAATAATATTGAAATTTCGAAGTGACCGGTGACCAGTCGCATTGGGACCGACTTTTAGGCTTGCTTTCTGGAACTGGCGGATGGATTGCCACTTCGAGGGCCTTCTCCTATATCCAACGCCGCAATGCGCAATGCATAAAGCGCCAATGGGGCGTATTGTAGTCGCTGTATACAGAGCTCTATCGAGATTTAGTTGTCAAATCCTCTCGTACGAGAAGATCTGATACATGACGAATAGAAAGCATCGTTGGGTTGTAAGAAGCGGCTGTTCAGATTGCGGGGGATCGTAATCTGCCTACCGAACACTATAGCCGATTAGGTGGCCTCAATCGCGAAATGAAGCAATATACAAGTAGTCCGACATCAAAAACATATATATGTAAACTTAGCCATGCTCCAAATCTGGTTTGTCTTTGTAGGCCTGTACCAAGTCCGTTTCCTCTCGGCAAGAGAGCTAGAATGAAGCTCAACGATAAACTTGCTGCGCTATTCGCGTTCGCAGTTGCAGTGCCAACAGTACTAGGGCATGGACTCCGTGAAGCAAAAGTAGGATGCGATGGTCCAGTGGTGCTGGATGCGAAATCGAACGTCTGGCTCAACTACACGCTGCACCCAAACAACATCTACCGACCGCAAGCCCAGGCCGCAATAGAGAGGATCAACGACACCGAGATTAAGGCAAAGGCAACGAAGATCCCGGATCAAGGGACATTTGTGTGGATGTAAGACTTGAAGTTTTGCCAACCAAAGCGAGACGTTGACCAAGGTGCAGAGAATCGAGAAAAGACATGGCCAAGATCAACCAAGTCCTCACTGATGTCCCATGCAACCATATCCTCGGTCTGGTAATCGCAGGGCTGCCGTACAAAGAATGCCTAGTCAATGCTACGCCACCGTCTGTAGACCCATGGGACTACGAGAAGGAGTTCATCGATCGCAAGGCGCCTCTCCATCTTCCCGTCTCGAAACCGCACTGACCATGGCAGCAATCGTGGACATTATCAGGGCCAACTCTCACACGGCCTTCTCCCTCATCATCGAGCCCAACGCAATGGCGAGCTTCGTCACCAATCCAAACAACGCCAGCTGCTCGCACGTCCAGCGCTCGTATCGCCAAAACGTGCCGCTCGCGCTCAAGAAGCTCGACCTCCCCAACGTAGTCACGTACCTCGACGCCGCGCACGGCGGCATCTTTGGGTGGCGGTACTGGGGCATTGACTACCCGAACTCGGCGTCCGACGAGATGCTCCGAACGTGGACGGCGGCCGGCACGCTGACGCAGTTCCGCGGTCTAGCTGTAAACGTGGGGAGTTACAATGCGTGGTAAGCCTCTTGAATGATGCGCGCGTGTGTCATGAGAAGAAGACTGAGAAGAGTTGCACAGGGATCTCAGTCCCGGAGAGACGTTTGACGGCGAGAATCCCACTTGCCCCGACGACAACAAGGCTCGCAGTGAGATACTGTATCTGCAGATTCTGCGACGCACATTGCAAAGTGCCCTGAAGAGGGCCAACTCGACTTCTGCTATGCCCTTCCACGCTATAATGGACACGTCGCGCTCGGGAGTGCAGGGTATCCGCTCGCACTGGACCGACTGGTGTAATGTAAAAGAGGCATCGTTTGGCATCTATCCAGTAGCATTCGGGAAAGACAATCTGGACGCGTTCGTGTGGGCGACGATGCCGGGGTTTAGTGACGGGGCGAGCGAGGTGGGCAGTATTGGTTATACACCGGATTGCGCGCTTGTGGACTCATTCAAACCCATGCCGGCAAGGGGCATGTGGAGTCAGGAGTATTTCGAGTCGTTGTTTCGGTGGTTCCGGGAAAGACGGCCGCCTATGATGGCAGTGCGTGGGGTAGAACGGGTGTTGCGGCGGTGCGAGGATGGACGACAGCGGGTCGGACTGCGGAAGAATGATTCTATAAAGATCAGGGGGCCAAGCGAGGTGCCCACAGAGTACGGTTGATGACGGGCATTACTTTGTCCCAGAGTTAAACTTCAACCATCAGACAGCGAAGACAGTCTCCAACAATGCTAAAACTTCCTGATTCGTGATGGAAGGCTTCCGCCATCAGTCCGTCTATAACGCCTCCCTATGTAGTTGATATAATACACAATTCCTACATGCTGTAGTCTCCATCCATGTGCAGTCGTTCGTTCCGGTCGTCGACTTTGTTTTGCGCCTACCAGGGGAGGCGCCATCCTGGTGTTGTATTTGCAAATATGTGTGCAGTTCTCGGTCTCTGGATAAACGAGGTCTATTTCTTTCCGCGCTTCTGTTCGAGAAAGAGAACCTTCTTTCGCACTGCAATGCCCGTCAGCATACCAATTCCACACGGAATGATACATTGTCCGTCCTGTGCCACATATTTGCTTCTCAGTATAGAAGTAGGGATACACGGACACAGTCGGGTGAAGCGTGATGTACATGGCGTAGGGAGGGCAGCGCGTACCGATTGGGTCGTACTTCAGCATGCTAAGCGGTCGATGTGCTCGCGGTCGCATAAGGGTTCGGTAGTAGCCTGTCATGGCCATGGAAAGGAGGCGCACCATTATTGTGCGGGATTTGGCTGTGAGGAGGCGCGTCAGTTGGAGCTGGAGCTGGACCTGGGGCAATTGCGGACTCGACAAGCGGCGCGAGGTGCACTGTCAAGAACGGCGAGTGGCTTTCGGGACGACTGACCTTTCTTCGCCATGGCGAATGACAATGCGATGGGCTGTGATGGGACGAGAGTCGTGCAGACGCGGATGGAGCCTCAGCTTTTCGACGTGAAGCTCACAACGGCAGTTCTTCGGCTGCTAGCCCGTGGCCAATGAGAGCGCTGCGGATCAGCGCTTCTCTCTCAAATGACCAGGAAACTCTCCATCCCTTCAATGATTGTGTAAAACATGGTTGGTACAGAAGGTAGATGGTGCCTTGGTGTGGGGTGTTGATTAGCAAGGGTTTTTAAGACCTCTGTGTCACAAGCACTGCTTCCAAAAAAAAGATAATTGGTTAAAAAGATTGCTAAATTGCAAAAAAAAAGATTACTGGTCACTACGAGGGTCGAACTCGCGACCTTGGCGTTATTAGCACCACCTGATGCTGAGTTAGTACATCATTTGATGTATTCTCGACAGATATCGAACTTACGCTCTAACCAACTGAGCTAAGCGACCCAGATGTTTCTTGTTATGAATATGACGGATTTTAGAAATAAATATCCATGTAAAAACTGGAAAGAGCCCATAGCTTGGAGCTTGACTAAACCAGCATAGTACGGTCTTGGCATCGGTATGTCTCCGCTAGTGGCCACAGAACCCCGCTCATGCTCAAGGGAAAGCAAACAAACACCAAATCATCAATAGCGACCTATCGGCTGTTCGGAGATTTTTGGCTTTCCAACCCAGTCTTACACCTCGACGCTGCTGCGTTAGACCAACTACGCGAACTGGAACCATGTCTCCATCAAATTCGACCTAACTGTAGAAGAGCTTACCTCACAAAATGGACCAGGCTTCAATATCTAGGAGGTAGAAATTAGACTCTGGCAACCCCAGCGGCCAAAGGACCAGCTCGTACTTCCCTCTAGCACCATGAATTGGCCCATCGCCCATCACCCATCACCTTCACAATCCATCATTTGTAACCTTGACACTCAACAATGGAGAAACCATGGATGACACGAATCCTTGTGTATGGTTGATTATGGCTAACAGTTTCGTGCCACAAAAGACTTTTATCTTCGACCATCTCGCACGCTGTGAAATAGTAGACGGCTTAGAAGCGTACCCGAAATCGGTATTAGAATGCCACGAACAGTGGATGTCGCAGCTGCGAAAGCACCCAACTGCAAGAGTGGAGATCATCCATGGCCGAACGGTTGGCAAGAGAATGATGCAGACCCATAGTCTACAACCATTGCATTTATGGGATGATTACAGCGACTTTATTCTCTACTTGGAGTGGAACAATGAAGATCCTGGTCGAAGGAGATTGCATCGTATTATTCTTTTTGCAATGCATCCTCAACTCTTCTTAATGCCTTGGAGAAAAAGATGGGCAAGCACACAGGATCGAGCAATATGGATGGTAATGCGCTGATACAAGCACTTTGGTCTCGCCAAAGAATTGTCTGATCATTTTCCTCCCTCCTTCTCGCTTCCTCCAGATAAAGGTCGTCGCACGCGTCCTTTCCCACAACCCATGCCTCCTTGTCCTTAAACACGAGAGTGACCCTGATATCACTCATGTCTCCCTGTAATTTTCACCTCTTGGTTTTTTCCTCAGATTCAATAGGCCTCGAAGAACACAAACACGACATTTAGAGGATGATGATTCTGGTCGAGAAGAGGGAGAAGGGCGCGCGCAGCAAGGGCGCATGCACAGCTATTACGTTTGCTTAAGGAATTCATTTAATTGACGAGGAAGGCGGAATTGAGAATATTTCATGAACATGTAATGGCCAATGGAATTGACTTCAATTGGAGTAAATTGAAACCGAGATACGGGATAAAATCGAAGACTAGAAGAAAGCGGAACGGGTAATGATATAGTCAAAAATGAAATGCTAGAGCAATTAGAATAAAACGATAGAAAAAACAGCAGGAGAAGATGAAAATAAGATTGGGCAGGCAATGAAGACGGTGGAAAAGAAGAACAGAATGGCGATAGAGATGGTGAACAAAAAATTGGACCGGTGACTTCCAGCCCCGACTCGTTATGAAAAGTTCAAAAATGGAAAGTGCAGTAGATTGATTATAAGAAAGAAAGACACGAGGGAGATAAGAGGGAGCGGATAGAGGAAGCAAAAGAAAATAAGTTTGAATGACTTGGCTGCGCGAGAGTGGCGCAACTTTATATGGCAACTTGATGGGGATCGAGTACACGCTGTCCTCAACGTGGAGAGATGTGTTTTGCATTCGTGTCCAATGCATCGTTTGACCACGTCGAGAGTTTCAACCAGAACATCAGCCACTGGTTTAGATCCGTCAAGCCCTATGGAACTTGCAATTCGCCAACAAGATGTATATTGGAGACCAGTGCGTGAAAGCAAGAGAGGACGATTTGGATATTGCACGTGTGCTAATTACATGCAGCCCTGCTGCGCTGCGATGGTGCACTGCGTCGCTGGTGCCACAATCTTGGACTGTTCTGTGTAACGGACTGTAAGCTGCGCGGCGCGAGTGATGTGATGTCGTTGCATGTCGCGTCAACGATTCTGCTTTCCCGAAATAGCCCCCAAACCCACTGGCCTCCCCCTTGCAGGTCGTCGTTGGTGACGCGTGGGTGAGGCTGGAAAAGAAGCATGTCTCGCAGCAACGGTCGCGACGATTGGACACGAGGGCGAGACTGGTCCATGGAGGCGTGTTGGCAGTTGAAACGTGCATGGCGAGGCGCAGGGCCTCGCGTTTCCGACCGATTGGCCTATTCTTGGATAGGGCTGGTGGTTCATGCCAGTACATGTGCAAGAAAACGGCCCCCACGTTCGTACCACGCTCTCTCGCCTTCACGACCGTCGGTGTGTCCGAAACCTGATTTACACATGCATAGCCAGAAGACTGTGCATTCGTCATCTTACAGCGATACGCAGCGGCTGAGGTGGTGTGCGATTGTGTCTGTCGTATAAGAGACGTGGTGGAGATTGAAGATCACGTGTTGGGGCAGTGAACTGGCGCTTCAGCCACGACATTGTGGAGCGTCTGGAGAGGGTCGAATCAGGAGAGGTTTTTCTGCCGGTTTGCGAAACGGCAGGCACAGCCCTGCGCGCGGGCCACATGGTCAATTCTTGCACTCCCCAGAAACCGGCTCCGACTCTCCGAGTGTCGGTCAGAACCCAAAGCTTCTCTCCGTCCTGGACGGATGGGTGCGTGTTGTTGAAGGAGGCATTGCCAGAATACAACCAGAGTGAGTCTTAGATCGGGTCATTGGCGAGGGGAGTCGTAGTGATGGCAGTGGTGGCTAAGGTAAGAATCCGTCGTGGTGCACTTTGGAGCTCACAGAATCGATTGACCGGTGGTGGCGAGTTGTCAGTGAGACGACGCACCGGCTGATGAAGAGATAGTGATGGCATTCCGCGCCGGGTGAAGCATTGTGGGTGCGCAGCCCATTTTCATTCACATCGGACCCCGCCGCGATCGTCGCTCGCTTCCCACGTCGACCCCTGCGCGCGCTCCCTTTCCCTTTCCATGCTCACCACTTTCTTGACCGGTGCGGCTGGCTTCGATGAGTGCATATGCAATCCACTTAGCAATCTGCACTGCAATTGACCGGCAACGCTCGAGACGGTCAAGATGCTATCGAGTTGCTTCTGGCTCATTGCACAGAGCGGGGTTGTTCAGCTCGTGGCGCCTGAGAGGTCAGGCATTCCTGGCGTCACAAAACATCTGAATGCACATGTTTGGGGATGTTCCCGGACCAAAAGTCGGTAAAGACGTAGACATGCGAACTGGGCGCCAGCTATCGTCCATTTGCGCGGCTTTTGTCTCTGATCCGGCGCATCTAGATTACGAATGTGCACCGTGTTTGCCGTTTCTGTCCAAGCCATGGGCGAGTCGATTGTCGCGAGATTATAGAGTACAGCGACTGGTGTTGACGGCTGGTGGGGCCTGTCGTGCTACCCAACGTCGACTTTTGCTACCTCACTCCGGCAGAGGCCGTCGAGGTAGTCGTTTCAAGTGCCGGCTAGCCCAGGGACAACTCAGCTGTCTTGTCCGCATTGGTGCTGCCGTCTGTATGTCGGGCATGGTGTTGATTTCTGAACCACTCTGCTGCCCAATCAGCCAAGCACGGCGCGTGTGCGAAAGAGAGCGCGTGAGGGTGGAATAATTGCAGACTCCATCTTCGAAGCGTAAGCCGATGCCGAAGAGCCGTGGATGGCATCATGTTGTGGCCAACTCACGACTCTCGCCACTGATGAACCGCCGAATTTCCCCAACTCAACACCACGCCTCATTCCAGGCCAAGGTCACGATGCGTTCCCGCACACTTGGGGTCAAATGACCCAGAAGCGTTACGTGTAACCGTTCAAGCCCGTTCAGACCCTGATTCTGCCCATGGCGCGATCAAGTTCGGGAAGAGTTGGGCGTCGCGAGCCTCTGAGCCGCGGATCCTCGCCTGCAGACTTCTGCCACCCACGATATCCCTACCTCGCCCTAGGTGATTTCTTTGACGTGGCGTCTCTGTGCGGCCAACTGTCCAGCCATGGTGCGAATAGCAGCGCATGCCGGGCCGGACAGGACGACGTCTGTCTTGCTTTGCATCGAGACAGCGGGAGCCTGACCGGCTCTTCGGCGGCGCTGGACAGGCACTGGGTTCCCGGCTCCTTGTGGAATCGTCAGTTGTTGCAATGTGTCTCGCAGCAGAGCAGAGCGGTGCACGTGGAGGGTGGGCGTTGCCTGTCGCGCTGATAAGGATGTGGCGTGGAAAAGGCTCCTCTTCCTGATTTCCAAGGCCAGGGTGGCCGCACGGCGCAGGGTAATTGCAACTAGAAGATCGAGACCATTTCCAGGCCGCCCTTCGCATCCCACGGCGTGTGTCGATGCGCCGCTGCGCAGAAGAGTCATCCAACTGCCCCGCACCCTAAACATCACAATCAGTATCAGTCACATCTCAATTGTGACTCGCATCACCGTGCACCCCCCTCCGATCCCTCCGCTCCCTCCGCTCCCCCCCTCCCCTCTAATTATTACATGGCTCCTTCGATGGCAGCCTTAAGCTAAGCCAAAGGGCGCTGATTTGCCCCGCACTCACCACCACAGCGTCCGTCATGGGTTCCCTTCGGCACTTTTGCTGCAAGCCACCAGGCTTACTGCATAGTGTGGAAATTGCATTTTAGGGGTTTCGGGCAATGGCAGAGGCCGGATCGCTTGCCTGTATGCAATCGACGACGGGTGCACGCCATGATTGGGAGCGTCGGTAGCGGGTGTGCACCTCTACACTCAAGCCAAGCCTATGTCTCTGGGAGCTTCGTATTCGGAACCATCCATCTCGTTCGTCTGGGTGCACCAGTGGACGCGAAGGTCGCTTAGGCCCGATTGGACGTCATTTGGGGAACGGAGTCATAGCCATCAAGTGATGCATCGAGGGAGGGCAGCGCGAGCTTAGACAGCAAACCATTTCACCATCCTGAAGACGTTCAGGGTCGCTGCAGCAACAAGTAGACGCAGGCACGTCGATA